ATAACGCCCAGCTTGAGGGCGCTGCCACGGACAACGATAGCGAAGGGGGCCCGCTGAGAAATCCAGGATCGACCCTTGGGCCGTATGGCAGCGAAGGTCGACTTATTGTAGATGTTTCGCATTCTCGTGCTAGGTTCTTGGATGTCGGTACCAGTGGTGCACGTGCTAGCCGCGAGCGACCTGACCGATCGGGCTCGCGCGTGGGTGCCCTCCGGGAGGCGCCCTATACGTGGGAACCTGGCGACAGCGCGTCGTGCCCTGGCATCCGCGGTGGCCGCCAGACTCATGTCGGCGTCGCCCACTGCCGGTGCCGCGTTGATGTAGCTTCTGACGTGCTTCACTTGGTGGTGGGTTTGCAGTGGGTGCCTGTTCAGCTGGAGAGACGCCGCGTTTCTACCGCCCAGGCCTACAATTTTGCCAGGGATGTTTTTTTCTGTCTGACAGGCGCTGGAAGAGAACAGTGCCATCGAAGGAGATTTGTAGCTCTCTGGCAGAAGGCGCTGTGGAGTTGCTGTCGTCAACGCAACGTGATGCTCAGAGGTCATGGCACGTGCTGGTGCTGTCGTTTTGTCCTTGCGCGCATCAGTGTTTTGATGCCATCAAGGGAGATGGAGCTACCTTGAAGGTGGCCGTTAGTGTGTATCAGGGATGTGGAGTTGCGCGACCAATTTCGGCAAGTTCCTCACACGCTTCGTGGATCAATATGGAGCTCCATCGAAGGCCCCAGTGGCAGAGTTTACATGCGTCCGCGCGACCCATTACGGCAAGCTCCTCACACGTTTCGGGCCCCTACAGGGAGCTTCACCGAAGGCCGTAGTTTCGTACACGTCCGCGCGATTCACGTCGGCACGCACCCCACACGTGTCGTCGCCCTATCAGGAGCTCCACCGACGGCCCCGATGGCAGGGTTTACATGCGTCCGCGCGACTCATGTCGGCACGCCTCTCGCACGCTTCGTGGCTCCGTAGGGAGCTGCACCAAAGGGCGCAATTGCAGGGTTTATATGCGTCCGCGTGACTCATTTTGGCGCACCCCTCGCGCGCTTCGTGGCCCCACAGGGCGAAGGGAATATTTCAACTGAGTTCGAGCCAGAATCGTAATGAATTTCATGTTTTGTGCAAAGTGTGACTCTTGTTTTAGATCTCATACCCGAACACCATAGCGAACCTCATTTCTGGACCAGATCGACCCAAAACACAACAGTGAGTCTCATTGCTGGACCAAATCAAGCCAGAAAGTGAATCGAAATGGACCGCTGCCAGACCGCCGCCGGACCGGGGAGCCGGACCAGCGAGATGCCTCCCCCCCGCCCCCCCAGTGGAGGTTCTGGCAAGAAAATTGAGCCTCGTTTCTGGACCAAAGAGAACCAGAACGCCATGCTGAGGGCTGCCGGGCCGTTCTGCTGGACCGCCGCCACGCCTGGGAGACGCCTTCCCCCGGTGCCCCTTTGTGGAGGTTTTGGTGAAAGGAATCTCCGAACTCTGTTAGGAGCGTCCAGCGAAACGCGACATGGGAAAAAATGATGCCGTAAAAAAAGCCACAAACAAACACTTGTGATGAGGAGAACTCCGTGCCAGCGCACCAAACACTAACGATGTTTTGAGAACAACAGAAAGCAATGACGAACAATCAATGCCAATGCACGTAAAAATTGGCGATGCCGAGTATGCATCTCGGTGCTGCGCGTCGCCAGGACTGGCGAAGGGCAATGAAACATCGATATTCCTGATCGGTCCTGTCCGAGGGCATCCTCAGTAGGAATGGCGTTGGGCGTCGGGACTGGTGCCACTAGCTCTGGGTCGCTTAGAATGGCGCCACGGATGACGGCGTCGGCGTGGGCGAAGACTCCCATCGGTTCCAGGCTCGCGAAGACGGCCGCGTGGAAGTCGCGGCCACTAGTGCGCGATAGGCGATGCGAGTGTATCTGAGCGACATGCTGCGGATAACTTCCGTGCGAGATGGTAGCGACATGCGATCAAATGCTAGCTAGAATCGCCAGCGTCTCCGCGACCATGGCGCGGATGTGCAAGCTAATGCTTGTAAACAAGCCTTCGTTACAGCTGTCCCAAATCTTCTGCCCATCCAGAAGCGTGCATCAGGTGTCGGAGCTCACACGATGCGTGTTACCTTGATAGGGATGAAGGGGGTCCCATGAAGGTCCTTTCATTCTAGTCCCTGAAGTACCTCAGGTCGCGGGCGGTGAGGCGGCAAGGCCCTGTGGTCATGGCCCAGTCCCTCGCTCATATCCTCCTGCGTCGGCCGTTTTGACCCCCCCCCGATCCCTTTTTTGAGCTGGTGGCATTGCTGGGCCAAAGTGGCCTGGCTGGCCGCGCCGGTCACCGTGGTTCGCGAGCCTCTGCTGGTCGCTTCGTGGTTGCGGAATCGAGCGTCGGTCTGATCGGAGATTTTTTGGACGTCTGGTTCGGATAGCCATTCTTCGTCGGAGTATTCGTCGTGGCTTGGTGGCTCTTGGCGCCCTTCTGGGGGCAGGGGCGGAGGGCTAGTGCCTTCTCATTTCGTATCTCCTTTTGTCGTGTCACAGTCCTTGACGTCGCGGAGGGCCAGGGGGGCTGCTTCGGGGCTGGGCTTTGTTTTTCCCGCTGTCGGCTCGGTGGCCTTTCTGGCTGCTCTGCGTGAGCGCTGGGTTGTCTTCTTGGCGCTGGCGCCGCGCTGCCTTTTCTCGCGTGGCTGTGTGCTGATGGGCAATGGCACTCTCGCTGGTTTGCCAGTGGTGTCAGACGCGCTTGCAGGCGCGGCCTGGTGGCCGCCCTGCCCTGGAGAGAAGGCGAGGCGTTGGTGCCTGGCCCGCCTGGCTGCGACCCGTGCGCGGGCGCCCCTGGTGCGATGGCCGCTGGTGAGACGATCGTTTCGGTTGGCCCATTCGGTGGGTAAGTTTTGGTGGCAGTTTCGGTTTGCATCATGGTCCAAGGGATTGTAGATCCTTGGACGTGGACTGTTGGGTTGGGTGGGGGTTCGGCCGCTTTGACGATGGCAATGTTGCCCCTGGTGGCCTTGTCCCATCCTGCGTGTTGCTCTTCGCAGTGCTGTTTGATGGGTGTCAAGGCTCTAGCAATTTACGATCTCGTGGCAGTCTGTGGTTCGATGCCCGTGGCACGGTACTTTGTGGTAGCCAGTTCAGTATCGGTTCTTCGGAGCTCAAGAGCGGCTTGCTTGGCTTGGTTCGTGTTCGATTTGACACAGGTTCCGAAGGCGTTGGACCTTTGTGAGGCCTGGTGTGCCTCATAGCGAGTGGTCATCTGTCCGGCTGGGCGCTGGGCCTTTGGTGCCGTGGTGACCGATGTCGAACTGAATGCCGCCTTGTCCGGAGGTGGCGGGGACGTCCGGGACGTCCGTTGGTGTGATGCCCAATTTGGCTGTGAGGTTGCGTTGACCCACGGCCGTGCTGTGTCGATCCAGCAGCTTCATGTGTTCCTGAATTTGCACTGTGCGGAAGAGAGAAGTGAAGATGGTTGTGAAGGCGTTAGTGAGGTCTTCGTCCAGCTGCTGGCGCGAAGTGTGACGCTTGGCAGACTTGTGGCGCTCTTTTGCTTTTTTTTGAGCCGTGCCCGTTCCGCCTGGTATAGGCGGGCCATTGATGGTGGCAGTTCCTGAGAACTGGGAGGTGAACATTTCCTCGAAAGCTGGCGTGCCTGCGATAGCGTCAGTTTTACACATGGCTCCGCGGATCCGTATGACGACGTCTGCTGAGTCGAGAAACGCCTTGCAAACAGTTGACTTCTCTGCGGCCTAGTTGGTATCTGATTCCCTGCATGTGTCTTGGCGTGGGGTTGGTAGCCTTAGCCGTCTGGCGGAGGACAGGGATTAGGATTTCTTTGCTTGGACAATCCGTGTTGATTGGTCCCAGGACGGCTAGTGCGAGGGGTTTTGTCCTGGCTGCGTATTTGCTACAGGAGGTGGTTGCCCTCGTCTTCCGTGTGAAGTGAGGTGCTGCTGGCGTGTGATGTGCCGTCCTCCGCCCCGTTGGGAGCTAGAAAGATGGGGGCAGTCCAGTCCGGTGCATCCAGGCTGATGAGTGGGGCGGCGCCTTTGCCCTGGCGGACGTCGGCTGAGGCCGTGACCCCTGGTGGGTCACGGCTGAAGTCCATGTTGTGCGTCAGGGAGTCGTGCAGAATAGTATGGTTGATCTTGTTCCCTCCGCACAGTTTCATCACTTCGCCCCTGAGCTTACTCTGGTCGGAGCGATGTTGTTGATATGTGGTGTCAAGTTCGGCCTGGTGCTTGTGAACGAGTTCGTTGTGTGCAGCGATTGTTCTATCGACGCCACCACTGCTCTGGAGTGGGGCGACGCTGGCTGCCTTGCGACTTATTTTGCTGTTCTGGCCACCATTTAAGGTTGCCTTTATGCGGCCCTTGCCTGGTGACGTTGGCTGCGGTGGTGCAGAGGGCGCACGGCGTGGGTTTTTGGGAACCATGGTGCGCGCGCAGAAGTGAAGGGAGGTGGCTCCAATCAGTCACACGCTGGGGTAGCGTGTATCCAGTCTCGCGATGCGTTCAACGGAAGAGATTGGCGCTTCGAGTCTGTGCCTACACCTGTACCCGAAGGTACTTGAGCAGATGGTTGAGCCAAAATGGCTACGGAGAGGCTCAGGGAGGGAAACGGCAGAGGGGGGACGGGGGCGAGGAGAGTGGTGTCGGGGAGAAGGGGATGTGAGGGAGGGGAGGTGAGCAGAGGGGGGAAGGGGAGGGGAAGGTGGGGAAAGAGAACGTGGAGGGAATGGGGGAGAAGGGAGTGGCGGGAGGTCGGGCCAGGGGGGAGGAGCGCAACCGCGCTTCAAAGCGTGGCCCTTTTGGCTTCGCAGGCTGGGCCCGCGGTAGGCGGCCCGGCCCTCCCCTTCCCCCCCTTCCCCCTTCCCCTCCCCCTCCTTCCCCCTCCACCTCCCAGATCAACCTCTACGTCCCCCTCCCCCGTCCACCTGTCCCCTGACCCACACGCCTCCCCTCCCCGCCCCGGCTCCCCGCTGCCGCTGGCGGGGGGGGCCATGGTCCTCACGGTGGACGTGGTCGTGTCGTCCATGCAGGCTCTTGTCTCGGCCGGCGCCGCCCAGGGTACAATCATGCGGGGCTCGAGAGCCCCACATGTAGGGGAGAAGGTGGACGGGGAAGGGGAGGGCGTGCCATGGAGGTGAGAGCTTTCACCACGCACGCATGTCTGTCATGTGTGGCCATACCGTTCGTTTAGGTCTCTTGCGCATGCGTGGTTGCTGACCTTCGCCTGTGTCCAGAGGAGGAACGGGAAGCGGAGTGCATCGTTGATGAGGAAGGGGGAATTATGGTGAGGGAGGTAAGACACAGGCGAGGCAGAGGAAGCAAGGTATGGGGGAGGGCAGGGAGTTGATGATTGAAGGGCTTTTGGGCCGCGGTGCTTCTGCTGATGTACAGCAGCCATTACGACTGCTACCTCTCGGGTTATTTTATATGGTTCCCAACGCTACGACAGCAATATTCGCAACTGGTATCATCAATGCTCTCACAGCTGTGTTATCGCGATTGCTACCATCATCGCTACCATAATGGAACCATCGCTTCTGCTCTTCTTGGTACTACTGATATTGTGCGCATTCCCGCTTGAAGCCGGCTCTGCGTTACCTTGAGGCCATCCCGCCACCGTGCCTGGATTGTGGGTCATAAGCCTCTAGGATGTTCGTTGGGATGTCGCGGGAGGCTTCTCGGGGGCCTCTAGGGGGCTGTTTGGAGGCCTCTTGATGGCCGTTTGGGGCTTTTGGGGCGTCTTCGGGGTCTTTTGGGGGTCTCTTGGGGCCTCTTGGGGGCCTCTTGGGGCCTCCTGAGGGCCTCTTGGGGCTGAAGGCTCGGATTTCCCGTTCGTGTTCCACCTCTTGGGCCCTTCTTGGGGCTGTCTTTGGGCCCTTTTGGGCCGTCTTGGGCACCCCTGGGGCCGTCTTGGAGCACTTTTGGGCCGTATTGGGGTTCTCTTGGGGGCCTCTTGGGCCGTTTTGGGGCGTTCCTGGGGGCGTCTTAGGCCGTCTCGGAGCGTCGGGAGCTCGAAAAGCCGAGGACCCTCAAAACATTTAATTATCCTTGCGAAAGGTCCAACCATATGCAGTTGTGAGTGCCGTCGTTGTGGATGGGGCCACGAAGCGTGTGAAGGGTGTGCCGAAATTTTGCGGGGCCGCCATGCGTGCGCTGCCACCGGGGCCTGCACCAGAGCTCCCCACAGAGCCACGAAGCGTGTGAGGGGTGTGCCGAATCGGGGGCGGGTACTCCATGCGGACGCGAGGGCCTTCGGTGGAGCCCCCTTATGGGGCCACGAAACGTGTGATTGGTGTGAATCGTGTGCGGGTACGCCATGCGGATTGTGCCACTGGGGCCTTCGGTGGAGCACCCTATGGTGCCATGACAAGTGTGAGGGGTGTGCCGAATCGGGTGCGGTTGCATGCGGACTGTGCCACAAGGGCCGTCGGTGGAGCTTCCTATGGGGTCACGAAGCGTGTGAGGGGTGCGCGGAACCATGTGAGGGTACGCCATGCGGGCTGTGCCGCTGAGGCCTTCGGCGGAGCTCCCTCTGGGGCCGCGAAACGTTTGAGGGGTGCGCCGACTCGGTGGCGGGTACGCCATGCAGACTGTGCCGCTGGAGCCTTCGGTGGTGCTCCCCCTGGGGCCACGAAACGTGTGATTGATGTGGATCGGGTGCGGGTACGCCATCCGGACTGTGCCGCTGGAGCCTTCGGTGGAGCTTCTATGGGGCCACGAAGCGTGTGAGGGGTGTGCCGAATCGGGTGCGGGTACGCCATGCGGGCTGTGTCACTGGGTCCTTCTGTTGAGCTTCCTATGGGGCTACGAAGCGTGTGAGGGGCGTGCCGAATCTGGTGTGGGTGCCATGTGGACTGTACCACTGGGGCCTTCGGCGGAACTCCCTAGGGGGCCACGAAACGTATGGGGTGTGTGCTGAGGCGTGTGCGGGTACGCCATGCGGACCGTGCCGCTGGGGTCTTCGATTGAGCTTCCTAGGGGGCCACGAAACGTGTGATGTGTGTGATGTGTGAGTGTGTGTGTGTGTGTGCCGGATCGGGTGCGGGTGCGCCATGCGGACTGTGTCAGTGGGGCCTTCGGTGGAGCGTCTATGGGGCCACGAAGCGTGTGAGAGGTGTGCCGAATCGGGTGCGGGTACGCTATGCGGACTGTGCCACTGGGTCCTTCGTCGGAGTTTCTGTGGGGCTACGGAATGTGTGATGTGTGTGTGTGTGTGTGTGCCGAATCGGGTGCGGTTACGCCATGTGGACTCTGGCACTGGGGCCTTCTGTAGAGCTCCCTATGGGGCCACGAAGCGTGTGAGGGATGGTGGTGAAATGCAGAGGGCAGGGGCACGGAGGGCTGGGAAATGGTGGTGGTGGCGGCGACGATGATGACGATAATGATGATGATGATGATGATGATGATGATGATGATGATGATGATGATGATGATGATGATGATGATGATGATGATGATGATGATGATGATGATGACGATGATGATGATGATGATGATGATGGTTATGATGATGATGACGATGATGATGATGATGATGATGATGGTGCTGCTGCTGAAGATGCAGCAGCAGCTGCTAATGATGCTGCTGCTGATGATGATGACGATGATGATGCTGATGATGATGATGATGCTGATTCTGCTGGTGACTATGCTGATTATGATGCTGCTGATGATGATGCTGATGATGATGAGGATGAGGGTGATTATGATGAGGATGAGGATGATGATGATGATGATGATGATGATGATGATGATGCTTCTGATGATGATGATGATGATGATGATGATGATGATGATGATGATGATGACGCTGCTGCTGATGCTGCTGATGATGCTTCTGCTGATGATGCTGATGATGCTGATGATGATGCTTCTGCTGCTGATGGCGACGATTATGATGATGATGATAATTATGATGCTGCTGCTGATGATGATGCTGATGATGTTGATGATGACGATGAACCTGATGATGATGCTGCTGCTGATGATGATAATGATGGTGGTGCTGCTGCTGATGATGATGCGTATGATGATGAAGCTGCTGAATATGATGATGCTGATGCCGATGCTGCAGATGCTGCAGATGATGATGATGTGATGATGATGACGATGATGATGATGATGATGATGATGATGGTGATGTTGTTGATGATGATGATGCTGATGAAGATAATGATGATGACGATGATGCTGCTGCTGATGATGATGATGAAGATGCTGCTGCTGCTGATGATGATGATGACGATGACGATGATGATGATGACGATGATGATGATGATGATGATGCTGATGCTGATGCTGCTGCTGATGATGATGATGAAGATGATGATGATGATGATGCTGATGATGATGATGATGATGATGCTGATGATGATGATGATTATGATGATGATGATTATGATGATGATGATGATGGCGGCGACGATGATGATGATGATGATGATGATGATGATGATGATGATGATGATGATGATGATGATGATGATGATGATGATGATGATGATGATGATGCGACTGCGGAAGATTAGAAAGAGCGTGTTCTACCGCTGCTGGTGGAAAACCAGGGGGGGTCACTGGGGGTTCCCAACCCGTCTCCCCCCCCCTCGAAAACTGGGGGGGGGGTCACTACCCGTTCGAACCCCTCCCCCCCCCAGTCCATCATGAAAAGGGGGGGTTCACTACCGGTTCGACCCCCCCCCCTCGAAAACGGGGGGGGGGTCACTACCGGTTCGACCCCCCCCCCTCTCGCCGCCGGAAAACGATTCCCGCTCCTCGGGACAGTTGGACAATGGTGGGGATTCTGGGACAGTGGTGGGAACGGTGGTGGTGGGGACAGTGGCGCGGGGACAGTGGGACATTGGTGCGGACAGTGGTGGGGACGGTGGTGGTGGGGACAGTGGTGAGGGGACAGCGGGACAGTGGAGGGGACAGTGGGACAGTGGTGGGGACGGTAGTGGTGGGGACAGTGGTGAAGGCGGTGGTGAGGACAGTGGTGGGACAGTAAAACAGTGGGGAGAGTGGTGGGGACAGTGGGGACAGTGGGACAGTGGCGGAGACAGTGGGGACGGTGGGACAGCACAGTGGGACAGCGGCGGGGACAGTGGGACAGTGGTGGGTACAGTGGGGACAGTGGGACAGTGGTGGGGACCGTGGGGGAAGTGGGGAGAGTGGGACCGCGGTGGGACAATGGTGGGGAGAGTGGGGACAGTGAGACACTGGTGGTGGGGACAGCGGGGACAATGGTGGGAACAGTGGGGACAGAGTGGTGGGGACGGTGGTGCTGGGGACAGTGGTGTGGGGACAGTGGGAATGTGGTGGGGACAGTGGGACCGTGGTGGGGACAGTGGTGAGGGCGGTGGCAAGGACGGCGGTGGGACAATGGGACAGAGGTACAGTGGGGACAAAGGTGGGGACAGTGGTGGGAACAGTGGGACAGCTCAGTGGGACAGCGGCGGGGACGGTGGGACAGTGGGACAGTGGGGACAGTGGGACAGTGGTTGGGGCCGTGGGGAAAATGGGGAGAGTGGGACCGTGGTGGGAACAGTGGTGGGGTCAGTGGGGACAGTGCGACAGTTGTGGGGGCACTGGGGGGGACTTGGGACGGTGGTGGGAACAGTGGGGACAGTGGTGGTGAGGACAGTGGTGCGGGGGACAGCAGTGGGGGATGTGGTGCGGACGGTGGTAGGGACCCGGGAGTCGTTTGCCGGCGGTGAGCGTGGGGGGGGGGTTCGAACCGGTAGTGACCCCCTTAATCGGTTTTCTGGAGGGAGGGGAGGGAGGGTTCGAATCGGTAGTGCCACCCTCCGGTTTTCCGGAGGAGGGGGGGGGAGGGTTCGGTTCGAACCGGTAGTGACCCCCCTCGATTTTCCGAAAGGGTGTGTGTGTGTGTGTGTGTGTGTGTGTTTCGAACCGGTAGTGACCCCCCCCGGTTTTGGGGAGGAGGGGGGGGGGTTCGAACCGGTAGTGACCCCCCCGGTTTTCGGGAAGGGAGGGGGGGGGGTTCGAACCGGTAGTGACGCCCCCCAGTTTTTTGGAGGGCGGGGTGAGGGGTTAGGGGGGGGCTTTTGCCGGGGGGGAGAAGGGGGGGGGGTTCAGCAGGGGGGGTGGGATTTTCGGAGGGGGGGGGGACCCCCGGGTTACGGAGGAAGAGGAGGGAATTTTTTCCACAGTAAAGCAGCGGTGGATCACGCTCTCTCGAAGATTATGATGATGCTGCTGCTGATGATGGTGACGATGGTGATGCTGATGCTGATGATGATGATGATGATGATGATGACGATTATGCTGGTGATGATGATTATGATGCTGCTGATAATGCTGATGATGATGAGCATGATGATGATGAGGATGAGGATGCTGATAATGATGCTGCTGATGATCATAATGACGCTGATGCTGATGCTGCTGCTGATGATGGTGCTGCTGTTGATGATGCTGGTGATGCTGCTGCTGATGGAGACGATTATGATGATGATGCTGCTGCTTCTGATGATGCTTATGATGTTGATGATGACGATGAACCTGATGATGATGTTGATGATGATGATGATGATGCTGATGCGGATGGTAATGATGATGATGATGCTGACGCTGATGATGATGGTGAGTAACATGATGATGCTGATGAAGATCATGATGTTGATGAAGACGGACATGATGATTATGATGATGTTGATGCTGCAGATGATGATGTTGATGATGATGCTGATGATTCCATCTGATGATGATGACGATGATGATGCTGATGAGGATGCTGCTGGTGTTGATGATGATTATGATGCTGCTGATGCTGCTGTTGATGATGTGAATGAGGAGGATGAGAATGATGCTGATGATGCTGCTCACGATGATGATGATGATGATGACGCTGATGCTGATGCTGCTGCTGATGCTGATGCTGCGGTTGATGATGCTGATGATGCTGATGATGCTGATGATGAAGCTGCTGCTGATGGCGACGATTATGATGATAATGCTGCTGCTGATGATGCTGAGGATGTTGATGATGACGATGAACCTCATGATGATGTTGATGATGCTTATGATGATGATGATGCTGATGATGATGATGATGATGATGATGATGATGATGATGATGATGATGCGTATGCTGATGAGAAGTATGAGGGTGCTGCTGATGATGATGAGTCTGATGATGAGTATGATGATTATGCTGATGCTGGTGATTATGATGCTGACAATGATTATGATGATGCTGTTGATGGTGTTGATTATCATCATGATGATGATGGTGATGCTGATTTTATGAAGATACTGATGATGCTGCTGATGATGATGAGGATGCTGATAATGCTGCTGCTGATGATGATGCTGATGATGATGATGCTGCTGCTGATGATGATGGCGACCAGGATGCCGCTGCTGCTGATGATGATGCTGCTGCTGATGATGATGATGATGATGATGACGATGCTGCTGCTGCTGATGATGATGCTGATGATGATGATGCTGCTGCTGATGATGATGGCGACCAGGATGCTGCTGCTGATGATGATGATGCTGATGATGATGATGATGATGATGATGATGATGATGATGATGATGATGATGATGATGATGATGATGACGATGCTGCTGCTGCTGCTGCTGATGATGATAATGATGATGATGAGGAGGAGGAGGAGGAGGATGCGCCGTGGGACGGGAGGAAGGATGAGGCTGGAGGAAGGAGGCAGACGGGAGGAGAACGCGGGTTCTCTTCAATACAACGATCCAACACCACAGTATGCTTGGGACAAATATATGGACAATCAATGATTTTAGCCTCTCTGGGCCCTCTTGGGAAGGCTCTTTGCTTTCTTGGGGCGTCTTGGAGGCCTCCTTGGGCCGTCTTGAGACTATCTTGGGCGTCTTGGTGCGATCTTTGGGCGTCTCGGGGCCCTATTCGACCGTCTTGGGGGCCTCTTGGGGCCCTAACAGCACGTCTTGGGGGTCTCTTCGGTCCGAAAAGTCGTACGGGAAGCCACCCCAGAGCCCAGGGGGCACGCTGGGACCCACAGTAGATTGGAGAATTTGGGATCCAGGCTCTTAAAGACTCTTTAGGACTGAGGACTGAAGCTTAATGGATTCGGCGAAGGACCTGGGGACACGCCCACTCCGTGCCCAGCGGCACGGTGGCAGATTCTTTGCTAGTGGCTACTTTCACACGGCTAGCTGCAATTCTGGAACCGCCAAAGGATTTGCTTGAGGGAGCTTGTCTTGAGAACTCCCATCGTCCTGCCCCGCGGCGCGCGAGGGAATGGGCCCGCAACCGCCCCCCTGTTCCGTTTGCGGGCCGTCTGGGATATCCGGTGACGAATTCCAAACTGGCGCCTTCGCGTGGGACATCCTCAGAAAACTGGCCCCCCGAACCTCCCAAAGGAGGCCCTCAGAGACCCCCTTGTTCAGTTTCCAGGGAACCTGGGAAATCCAGCAAGGAATTCCAAACCGGCGCCGTCGCGTGGGACATCCTTACAAAACCGCCCCCCCCCGAGTCTCCCCAAGGAGGCCCTCAGAGGCCGTCTTGTTCCGTTTCCAGGAACTCCAGGAAGTCCGGCGACTAATTCCAAACTGGCGCCCTCGCGTGGGACATCCTTAGAAAACCGGCCCTCCGAGCCTCCCCAAGGAGGCCCTCAGACGCGCGCCAGGGCGCGCCTTGGCGCATCGGGCGTGTCCCAGTCTAGGGCTCTCGCTCGAGACATGCTCTCTAAGTCGATCCCCGGCGTGCGAGAAAGTCAGGCCCCACAGCGCCTCCCCCAGGGACCATTCCCGGGGGGTCTGCTGGCGCGCTGGGGCGCAACGGGCGTGTCACAGTCGGGAGCTCTCGCTCGAGATAACCTCCTAAAGTCGTCCTCCCCCATCGCGAGCCTCCCCCATCGCGAGCCTCACCCTCCTCATCCTCACCCGCGGCACCACCGCCTCCCGATCATTCTCCTCTCGCCCATAAGCACTATACAGACTCCCGATCAACCGCAAAGCGGCCGGCTAGTATCTTCGTAACCAAATTGACGATGATATGAGCGCGGGCCGTTGATAGCGACCTTGTGTAACCTACAAAGAGCATTATACAACATCTGGGCTGCGGTCTGTGGGACCTCACCTGGGATCCTATCGTGTGGGCCCCTACCAAGTGGGACCCTACTGTGTGGAACCGAACTTTGTGGGACACTATCGTGTGGGACCCGATTGTGCGGGGTCCTATCACGTGGTTCTTACGGGCTGTGCCATCTGACTACAAGCAGGACAACGTGAGGGAACCGCAGCGCTTAGCCCCAGGCACCGTCGACACTCCTGGCGACCAGTGCCACCTCCGAAGTGTAGGCGTTGTTTTAGGAACTATTCAGCTACGATGGTAACCAGCGCCGTCGTTGCAATTATTACTACCACGGCACCTGATAGTGCTACTGTTTTTAAGACATCGCTTGCAATTCCCTTTACTACTCTCTGGTCCACGAGTCCACCACACCCCGCATGCGCTCTCATGCAAGCCTTATCAAACGGCATTCGGGTCTCGACAACTTACCTCTAACCTGTGGCACCACTTGGCGCAGCGGGAAGTACGCTGCCGAAGGGCTGGGACATATGGTAGAAGCCTAGATCTTTGCGCGCGAGAAGGCAGTGTGTGGAATCGATTGGAGCAGAGGAGGCGATTGTAGTAGCCCGATGCGCCCGCCACCTGAAGCCCCTCGCTGTGCGGGCGATCACCATCAAGATCAATTGCCACTACTATTCGCTGTGCGGAAGGCCTCGCCGTGCACACCACAGTCACTCTTAGTAATGATACCACCACTACTAAGTCATTGTTCGTTGCGTGGCCTGTGTGTTTTCGTGCATGCAGAACGTTTGAGTACTCGCGGTGACCAATGATGACGATGACTGTTTTTCCTTGTTGCATATCCTTTCTGGAGGCGGCATAGAGATTCATACAATGGTTCGGTGTGTACGTCCTCATACAGTCTTATGATTATGAGTAAGTGCTCTTCTGTTCACGGCTGGGGTGTTTAAACCATACCGAGTGGCGATCTCATTACCACGCGCCACAGTCTCATCACATTCGTTCGTCGACACTTACCACGTGTCGAATACAATCCACCGCCCTTGCTTGAGAACGCAATGCATGCTTGCCCGAAGTAGAATATTCTTGTCTTTCAATATCGGTGCCCATCGTTATGGTGACACCAATCGTGCCATCGTTCCTGCCATGCAGCTAGTCTAAAGTGCTGCTCACTAGCCCCCTATCCCTTTTTAATCTCGCCATCCCTTGTTAGTCTCGTCACCTGCCCCCCTCTTCTCCAATATCTTGCTTCCCGTCGTTCCTCGTCCCCCTTCCTTGTCGTTTTAACCCCTCCTCTTCTCCTGCTCCCCCCTTCCGTTCCTCCCCTCCTTTGACGCTCCCTTCGGTCCCTCCTCCCTTCTTTGGCCTCCCCTCGCTCTTTCCGTCCCTCATCATTTCCCTCCTGCTCATCCCTGTTTTCTGTTTTTCCCTCTACTCTTGCCGCTCCCCCCTCGAGGCTCAGCAGGCCACGCTGGAGGTGCAGGAGCTGCCCGGCCTAGAGGAGGAGGAGGAGGAGGAGGAGGAGGAGGAGGAGGAGGAGGAGGAGGACCAGGAGAAGGAGGAGGAGGAGGACCAGGAGAAGGAGGATGATATGATAAAGAGAGAGAGAGAGTGAGAGAGAGAGAGAGAGGCATGGTGGCCTGAGCTGCAGACTGGCGTGGGAAATTGTTGGCAGATGGGCTACGTATCCTTATGACGCGCAGGCAGGGATGCGGCCAGAGGAGTCGACCGCGGAAGCGGCAGTGTGGCGGCATGGGTCGTGTCATTGTGACGGGTAATCTCGATTATTCCCCGTGTCTTCGCCCGTTTTGGAGACCCTGACGAGCAAGGGCAGGGGAAGCTTAGTGTCCAGTTGCCAGGGTAGCAGACCCACCAGGTGTGATGAGGCTTTGGCTGGCCGAAGAGTCTTCGAAAGTCTGCTTCTGAGAGCAATCGGTGCCAGTGTAAGTCGTGTTAGCGGATGGCAGTGCCAACATGGATGAACACAACTATGATCGAGGTGTCACGTGGGAGCAGTAGCAGTGGCACTTGCGCGGGAACCTTAAGCAATGGAAACACACGGAATTTAGTGGACGCACGTGGATATAGGGAACTGCATGTGACCACGCGTGGAAGCGAGTAGACGCGAATGGTAGAAAAGGGTAGTTGCCAGAGATGATTGAAGCAACGGGTAGCAAGTGCAAACAAATACAATCCAGTTGAGGTAAAGGAGGCAAGTACAAGCACCGAATCGCCAATGGGAGCAAATGCAAACATGTGGGATCACCCCGAAGCAAATGGACGCAAACCACAAGCACATAGGGACAAACGGTAGCACAAGTGGAAGCACGTGGAAGTGTGTGGCCAGTCGGCGATGGCGATTGGGCGCCAGGCCCAGTCGGCGACTGGCCGATGGTGCCAGAATTGAGGAACGGTCAGGGCCCCGGAAACCAGGACAGTGCAAACCAAGATTTTGCCAGATCCAGCGGGAGAAGACGGATAATCGAGTGTGCTTCGGCACACGGCTGGAACGCCAACGTTTTGGTTTACGAAAGTCCTTGGTCTCGCGTCCCTGGAAAGGGAGGAGTTGGTTTCTGTGTGTACTGTTTTGAATTGAGTGCCCTTGGTATTGTTGAAGGCAGGCGGCTCTCTGGACTCGTGCGAGTTCGTGTGCTCTGAGGCTTGCCACTCGCGGAGCCCATGCAAGGACCCTTGAGAGTCGGAGCTGGCAGCGGGCAGCGGACAGCGAGTTGGGGAAAGCTCCTGCGTCGAAAAATGCGCACAGGCAGCAGCAGGGTGACTGGTGCACCAGTGGTTTGGGCACAGGCGACAACAGAGGTGACTAGATGCACCAGGCAATTGGGCCCTCCCCCTGCCCTCCCTTCGCCTCTCTTCCCTCCGTCCTTCTGCCGCCCCTCCCTCCTCCGTCCCCTCAGGAGTGGGGCTGTGCTGGGCTGCAAGATCTCTCCGCGCAGGGCGCCGACACCTGCTTGCGCATCGAGGAGCAGGGCGGCCTGGAGGCCGCCGCCGCGGACTTTCGGAACGCGGGGGTCCCGAGCCGAGAGAGCCGAGAGCCGCGGGACCGCCGATGGGCAGAAGCCTCCAGTGAGCACCTCGCGAGAGCGTTTCCAAGAGCGCCGGGTGTCCGGCGAGGGAGGGCGAAGGGCGGGGGCCTGGCGGTGCCCCGCCGACGAGTGTACGCCCGATGCCGCCCTCGGTGCCCCGCGGGGGCGGGAGAGGGGGCGGTGGTCCGGAGATGGGGCCCTGAGGAATGGGTCCCTGAGAACGAGTGGCTTCAGACGGAGGAGGGCCCCATCCCTCAGGGCCTCATCTTTGAACCCCCGAGGGGAGGCGCGTCCTCGGCCGCGGCGGGCCGCCGCCGCGGCCGCGGCCCCCCTCCGCAGTTTGGAGGGCCAGGTTGGTCCTCGGCGGCCTTGCTGAAGACTGCGGCGCGATGGGGAACGCGGGGGATCGGGCACGAGAGCTCTGACCGGAAGCCGAGTCCATCCAAAGTGCTCAGAGGCTTTGCCCTCCAGCTGAATGGGGCGACATTCGCAACCGGCTGATGTCGTAGTGTTCTCAATGCCATGGAGAAGCTCTCAAAGGCCAGAGTGCACACGTGGAACATACCTCCAGGAAGAGGAACGTGCGCTTGATCGAGCCGTCGCAAGTAAAGTTGAAGGTCGAACTCATGGAAGAAAGGGCCATCCCGACGACGACCCCGAGCAGCAGAGGGAAGAAAACTCCATGCAGGTACACCTCACGTGAAGCTCGAGCCGAAGCTCGTGTGCCGCTCGGGGGCCGCCGAGGCGGCCAGGCCCCACTCGGGCAGGCTCCCATGGCGCCGACCCTTGGCCCGAGGGGGCCCACGTGCATCCCGTCGGCGGCGATCTCACTCACCAATATGGCGGACCGCCTTAGCCTTCCGCTCCGCCGCCTCTGTGTCGTCGACCATGTCGTCGTCAGCACTCCCGCCAGCTCTCTGCTTGTCCGTGTCCTTACCCCTGCCCTTTCCCCTGCCCTTGCCTTTGCCCGACATCCCCTGCACGAGAGGACCATCACGGCTGTTTTGATGACCAGTTCCCAAGGACTCCGTCCTAATCTTGCTGAGCTCATTGAGGCCTCTGAGGAATTCGACCTCCACGACGTTGGACGGCATAAACTTCCAAACCCAGGTGCGTCCCTCACGGTGATCGGGGTGCTTGGAGGGCTTGAAGCTTGAAGCGAAAAATCTGGTCGTTTAACTGCTCTGGCGTGAGGCCGTCAAGTTTGCCAAAGATACTGGCCTGAGGGGATCCCTGGGGCTCTTTACTGATACAGATGCGGAGGAACTTCTTGAAGAGGAGACTGCGCTGGGAACCAAACGCACGGTTATCCATGCTGGCGTTATTGTCCGTCTTGAGCGCTTCTTTGTGCCGTTCCTTCCGACCTCGATCCTTGGCCCTCCAGGCGACTCGTAGCTGGGAAACCTCGTTCTTGACAGCCTCATCCTTGAACAAGATTGCATACAATACCCGATCTTGGAGCTCATAAAGGTCCCGCTCATGAGAAACAGTAACCCGCTCAATATTGCGAACCCGATCCTCGAGGCCTCTCGACGAGGTGGTTGGTGCACGCCCCCTGCGCTCGCCACCGCGGGAGGAACCCGAAGCAACATACGCCTCGGCAGCCTCGAGCGTGGAGGGCATGAGGATGAGCAGGTGAAAAAGGAAACGAAATTGGAGACAGCAATCCGGTCGATACTGATATTAAATCCCGCACTGAGAGGCCGGCTTGGACCCTGCGATGGCGACAGACAAATACGTGAGCAGCACATGCACGAACCGATGCGAATTTGTTGAGATATTGGGGACATTGGGCAGTCCATGGTTTCCTTTTCTCTTCCGTCGCTTTCTTGTTTGTTCGGTTCATCTGAAATGTAAGCCATACTTCATACGGGGCTGATGTACAGTTGTGTCTGTGCGTAGCATAAGGTAGCTGTTTCAGGCAGTATGGGCAGGCCAGCTTGCGAGCACTCTTAGTAGTAGCAGTACTTTTGAGAGTACGATCATGACGAGTCAGTTTCCCAGGTTTAGGCTTTCTGATGCTCTTGATCGGGCGGGTAAGGTCCGTGTTCAAGGTCATGAACGGCGTCTGGTAAATGATCTTCTCGGGCTCTCCTGAGGGCCTCCCCCCTGCTTGTTTACCCCGTAGGCGACGACGACGATGAGGCTGCTTAGGCTCGAGGGCTCGGGCTTCAGCTGCTTTGGCTCGTAGTCGTACTCGTTTGGCTGGAGGAGGGGTGGGGAGAGGTTCGGCAACGGCAGCAGGACCTGCAGGAAGACGGATACGTTTTGCTGGCACCGCTAAGACTTGTGCTTGAGGTCGCTTGCCTCGGGCACGCAGGCGTGGCTGGACCAGCCGCTGCCATGCACGCGAATCCGCATGCTCTCGTTCTTGTGAGGTGAGCGGGCGGCCTTTGCAAAATCGTCTGTGGCTCGACAGCGCCACGCGGCGCGGGCCACACTCAGGGCAGGTGAACTTCTGCGTCGGCGGCTTGGTCACCCCCTTGCAGCGCCGAAGATGAGCAGCAAGATTGTACACCTGGCTTGCACAGCTCGGGCATGTCGTATGTCCCGTGATGGTACGGGTCGAAGGTGCTGTCCGAACCTGATCGCGGATAGCCTGGCGAGATCCGTGATGTCGTTTTAGCCCAGTATTTGCATCTAAAGGTGTTCGGAGGTCACGACGCAAGTGCGTTTGTGCCTTTTGCCACTGGTGGCCACGCTGAGGAGAGAGACGGCCTTGTCCAGCGAAGCGCTGCCACTCCTGAAGCCGAACCGTGGAGGGCAGACCAGAATACGCCATAAATCCTCCATCCTTTTCCTGTACATACGAGATTGAGGTGTAGGGTGAGGGGGTTTGCAGGGGTCGAACATGAAGTGGAGTACAGCCCGCTCAAGTCGAGCATCTGGTAGCCGTGCTAGATGTCCCAGGTAACTGCGTTGTCGTCGGGTAATGTAATACTCAATATCGTCCAGTCCAAGTTCTGCCCTGAGAGCTGTGGTTGTAGCTCGTCCTTTCATCCATCTTTGAACTCCAGTCCGGATCCTGGCATGATGCAAATAACACATACATTTATTCATTAGCCGATAGCAGTGTAGATCTTCTTTGGAAAAATGTCTGATTTCGCATCCATACAACAATGATGCTATTACAACTGCTTCGAATGCTTTGCCTTTCTGCCTCAGGGTGAGACCCAAACGGGGAAGACGTCCTTTCAACTTGAACCATAGTTGCCTGCTGCTTGCGACCGCTTGGTAGTGTCGTCCCGGCTGCCGCCGTCGAAGTTGATGTGGCAGCCCAAGAATCGCATTGATTTGGCCCACATGCGGTTCGTGGGGAAAAAAGGAAAAGGTACATGCAACCACGAGCCTATCAAACTTGTCGGGATGCGCTCGCTGTCCTAGTTCCTCCAGGGTATGAATAATTAATTCTTCAACTCTAGACTGCTTTGAAAATCTGCTCACTCCAGTGGTATCACCAGCGAACCCCAAGACACGCAAGACAATGGAGAGGCAGGTATTGTCCGCTGTTTTTATCGGAGCGTCGTCGTGTGGGAGGGGCCGACGGGGAGGTCGGCAGCGTGAAGAACCGAATCCCATCCTCACCGATACGTGCTTCAAGACGACGAAGTACGAGATTGTGCAACAGGTTGAACACCGCGCAGGATGAGGAGCATCCTTCTCGGAGTCCTCGACGAAGCTGATATGGGCGAGAGTCCTCCGTTGGGATGCGGATGACGTGCTCGGTGCCACTGTGAAGGCCTTCCAGTCGTGCAATCATGTCCGGGGGTACTCCGAGCTTACCCAGAATAGCCCAGGCGAGAGACTGAGGAAGATTCGGATAAACTTCCTCAATATTTGCCAGCGTGAAAGTTGATAGCATTCTCCAACTCGCCATCAGAAAGGGATGCATCGTGTGCCGCCGATTCGACCACCGCACGAAGTATAATAGCAGCATCAATTGGCCGTCTGTAAGTTCTGAACCCCCATTGTTCTGGCTCCAGGAGATGTTGATCCTCTGCCCATGCTGAGAGCCGGCGTGCACAAATCCGCGCGATGATCCCAGACGGTATGGTCAATGGCGGTATACCACGGTACTGCTTCAGATCGCCTCTCGAACCTTTCCGCTTCCATAGTAAAATAACAGCACTACGATGAAGATCTCGATCCCACTCGCTAGGGTCCGCGTGCCAAAGATGTCGTATCAACTCCCGAAGTAAATCTGAACACTGGGGGCCGGCCGACTTCCAGAGGCCGATGGTGACCTCGTCGTCGCCGCCCGCGGACTCGTGCATGCCTCTGATAGCGTCCTCGTATCCGTCTCGAGTGAGGGTGGAGCTCAGGACGGTGTCGATCTCCCCTGGGGTTCGTCCTGTATACGTTCAAGTGGGACATCGTTGGGATGCCCCGCCAGCTGAAGAAAATGATCGCGTGCCTGTTGTGCTGCGAACGGTGTGGACTCATGTGCATCCTGGTCATTGAGCCAAACTCCGGGGTCGCGAAGATGCCGATAGAAGCGACCAAGATCATGATCTTGCATTGCCTGCTCGCATTCGTTGACAACTTACATATGATGCAAGCTGGTCGCGCCATCGTCGTCGATCTCTTCCATCGTGTCGCCCGAGTAGACGATGATGGTCCATGGCTGTCTTCCTATCTTCAGGGTTCGCGGAGCGACGCGCTGCGTCCCACGAAATCTGTAGCGACTTTTTCAGAGATCGTTCTGCTTGTCTTTTGCGGGCAAGTGCAGGGATGTTATCGCGTCGAGTTCGGCGGCCGACGACATCACCTTCTGCTCCGCGTAGACGCGCTCAGAGCTTAGTTCAGGATGGCGGGGGGGTTGAGGACGAGCTAGGCACCTGACGGGTCTGTAATGCTGCATCTGAAGCTTGTTAGTATTCGGTCCGTAGGGCTGAAGCCGCATCTCCAGGGCCTCGAAGCAGGTCTCAACGTAACTTGCCTCGGGGACGGAGATCCTGGGTAAAGCCTGGGACCCAATGTGTTCGAGTGGCCTTCGGGGCTGTGATCGCGCCCGAACGTGAGGTCTGTGTTCCGAGGTGCCTGGGAGGTCCGCGAGCACGACCTGGGGGATGAAGAACACGACTCTTGGCGAAATAATCACCGTCTGGAAGGGCACGGGTGCGGAGTTAGCGGAAGCAAGTGAGGTATACCTTTTGTTGGCGAGGAATCAGTCGAGCTCGTAGAACTACTTGAGCGTTGGATGATGCCATGCCGCACGTCTCTTTGAAGGAAGCCTGGAATCGATGCGATGCAAGTTGTTCTCCAACACAAAATCAAGAAGGTGCTGAGCGTGCTTGGAGGTGGCTTGGGAGAGCTTCTATTCGCCATATGCTGGGTGCTGGAGGTCGGCGCCCACGTGGGAGTTCCAGTCGCCTCCAAAAATATGGGCAGAACTCTGCGGCAATGATGCGAAATACTCGGAGGATGTCTCGGACAAGGATTGGCGCCCGGGGGGTATTTCCAAGGCGGCCAGTACATCGCGTGAAAGTCATATGTGTGTTGGCGGTATTGAACATGTACATGTATATGCTTGTCGTCAACTTTGTGAGCTTGGCTGGGCGTCGTAACTAACTTGGCAAGTCGGGGAGCCAACAGGCATCCACATCGACCTGCGCCGATGAGAACGTGCCCCTTCCAGTCAGAAAAAACGCCGCATGCGAAGGGAGAGCGAGATCGCTCAGCATGATGATGTCCAACTTCTGCTTCCGTGATGTCATCAGCACGCCCTGGATCTTAGAGCGTCAGCTAGGGCGAGACGGATCGAGGGCCTGGCAATTCCATGTCGCCAGGCGGAGCTGTTGGGAAAGATGGGCCGCGCGGCACGCTCGGTGCCGCCGACGCCTTGGCGCGCTCAATTGCGAAGGAGTCGGCGGGGCCACCCGCCGTGGTAGGTTCGACTTCTCGTGCGACGTGGGGTTAGCTGGGGTACGCCGATCCACGATGCGTTGACCGCGATGATTGAACGACGCGGGCAGCGGGGGCCACCTCGACGCACTTCCCGCACCCTATACGCCTCAGGCGTCGAATTCTCGTTCGACGTTGGCCGAACCGCAACCTCAGTATCGTCGGGCAGCTGGTCCAGGTCGTGAGTACGTTTCCCTTCCATACCTGTAGGAGGTGCCGAACCACGAAGGTTCTCAATGCCACACAACCTCCAGTCAGACTTCGACGGCACACCTCCACCCTCATGTCTTGCAGTGCATACACTTGAGCACATCTGCATCTTTTTGTGTGTAACAAATTATGGGGGTATGATTGAGTTGTATCCGCCCACGCCGACCTTGGCCAGTCCCATCCTGAGTTCAGGTTTGGCGTGTGTGTACTCCGAGTGTTCGATCAGGTGCTCGGGTATCACCGTCCACGCCGCCCAGTCCGACGGCCCTCTCCTGCCCCCAGCGCGCGCCCTCCCCCAAAAAATCATAAGCGTGCGCCTGCGTGTGGGCCAGTGCAAAGCACGGTGTGCAATTGCACCCTGGTCATGCCTGCATGTTTGCAAATCTACGCATCAAGGGCTTAGGAGGTACAAAGCCTCTGTGCCCCCCCCGTGACGCCGATGTGTTAGTCTTGAAGCCGTGTGGGGCGAATGATGTGTGCGAAATTGCGCATGCAATGCCAGTGTGTCAGGCGGCACATTCAGGATTTGTCCAGCCGCTGTTACTCCTGTGAGAGGTGGCCGTGTGCGGTGTCGTGATGACGTGATGCCATGGTTTCACGGTATCAGGATACTGCGGTGTCGCAGTTTGTGTCGTGCCGTGGTATCGCGGAGTGAAATAACATTTGGATCATTTTGGGATCAATTGTGAATCGGCTGATCAATTGCGATCCTGTCGTGAATCGAATGTGGTCAGGTTGCGGATCGATTATGACGCACTTGTGAAGCACATGTGAATCATTAGCGGATTAAGCGGGGGTGATTCGTGGTTTTGGTGTGGACCACGTGTGCATCAATAGCGATGCTTGTGTCTAGTCATGTTTTTTCCCAAATCTTTCTCTTAAGCATGTAATGTGTGAAGTCGGTTTTTCCTTGTTCCTCCGATTATGACGGCATTGCGCATGATATATTTTTGCATTGTGACGTACAGCTGCGAACCAATTGCGGGACGACTGCCGATCATTTCGAGGCGATCGTGAACCAGCTGAAAAGCAACCGTGAACCATGCGAATTAATACGAAGCGCTCCACCTTCCAGCCTTCTTACCTGGGTCGTCCGGTGGAGCGAAAGCCCCACATTACCATGTAACATCCAAAGCGAACGAGTACTCACCCCTCAGTGAAAACATTTCTAGGAAAAGTGAGGCCTCCCGCTCCTGACGGGGGCTCGCCGCGCTGTTCCTCCTGCAACCTTGCCTGGCAAGGGTGGCAGGGGAGTGGGGCGCGCGTTGGGAGGGCGCGGCGCAGGGAGAGGGGCCGCTGCCATAGACTCAGCGAGTGCAGCAGAGCCACCGCGAGCCTCACCGACGGTTGCAGGGTGGGCTTGGGGCAGGGGAGGAGCGCTGTCCAACAGCAGCGGGTGCAGCAAAGCAGAAACGGGCCTGCCAGCCAGTAGGCGCCCCACAGAAATCTTATCAAGCTCAAAGGACGACGAACAATCTGTCTGTCTGTCTGCCTGCCTGCCTGCCTGCCTACCTGTCTATCTGTCTGTCTGTCTGTCTATCTCTCTCTCTCTCTCCCCCACTATCACTCTCTTTCTCACTTTTGCTTTCACTCTCTCTGTGCTTATAAACTGACGGCCATCTGTGCGTATGTTTTCACATATATACACACATCTTGAAACATGTAAATACAAGTGTATGTGCATACGTCCGAATCGTGTGTGTATATAGATATGTTCAAAAAGTATGGTTTGTGATCATGCGAATGTACTACCGCTGTTTTGCCACTGGGTGTGCATCGGCGATGTGCCCCCTGCTTTACGACAGGGGGTGCATCGGCGATGCACCGTCGATACATCGTTATGCCAGGTTAGTGCGTTCCCTCCTGATCTGGTCCTTCCCTGAAGCGTCTCCTCATCTCCCCGCTTTCGCTTTGAGGTCTGGTGGGGCTCCCTCGCCTCTCCCGGTCTCGCCGAGCCTCCTCGGTGTGAGCCCTGTGGGAAGCTCTTATAAGTCCTCTCCGTGAAAGCTCGCTGGGAGCCGTTCGTCTGCGCCAGCAGGTGCTCCTCGCCACGGTGAGGGTGCGGCTCGGCTCCCAGAAGGTGCAGGCTGGGACGGTCTGGGCGGCCTCACGCCCACCCAGCCTGCTGCTGCCACTGCTGCTGCTGCCGTTGCCGCTGCAGCTGCTGCTCCCCTCGCAATCTCCTCCGCTACTCCCCTTCGGTCGGGTCGGAACTTGGCCGACGCGAGGCTTGTGACTGTAAATGTGCGTTCGAAGAGACATCGTGCGGTCGACGCTCGGCCTTCTGTCGCGAGAGCGGGAGGTGAGGATGCCTTGGTACGTATGCCACGCAGACACACACATGCACACACACCTGAGCGCGTCTGGGCTTGACGACGGCCAGGCGTACTAGAGGCGTCCAGCAGATGTTTGTGTGCATTCGTCAGCATGGCGTGCGGGATATCCGTAGCCATTTTGGCTCAAGTCGCCTGGGTCTGGGACTCCCAGAGGGCGGGCCAGCTCGGCGAGGCTGCCCGTGGGATGGACTGCCACTGCGCGCGTTTCGCCCTCCTGTCGGCGCTCGAGGAGACTGACCATGCAGTGGCCACGGTTGGCTCCAGAGGCTCCCGGAGCGCAGAGACGGCGACGCCCTCCTCCAACTGCACCAGGCGAGGGCTGAGCCGCGACGCCGACGTTAGCAGCCACGATGCGGACATCGGCAAGGACAGCGGGTGCGGCCCTACAGCGGCCCGCGTGGCAGACCGTCTTCTCAGTGGCAGGGCTTACGCAGGCGAGCTGCGCCGCAGGAGATACGCTCTGTCAGGCGACGCGGGCTACGTGTTGCCGAGCAGGGACGCCGACTGCTTCGGGCGCCGAGGGGCGCCATCGGGTGCACCCACCGCTGGGCCTTGCCGGCCACTAACGCCCTTGCAGGAGCGCTGCCCCTCGCCAGGTGCCCCGGGTGCGCCCCGAGCGGCCGAGCAGCCGGAGCTGCGCGAGCTTCGCGCGGGCGGTGCGATGTTCGAAGGCGCTGACCTGGCCGGCCGTGGCGCCAGGGCCGCCAGCACCGCGGAGGCGCTGGTGGAGGGCCCGATGCAGCAGCGCTTTATGTGGTTTCTGTGGCGATGGCGCTGGTGTTTGCTGACGAGGCAGGAGCTGCGGATCTACGCGGACCGCAGGGCTTCCATCATTCACCCTGACCGCCCGCTGGAGCGATACAGCGCTGGGGCACTGGACGTGACCCAGGACTTGCACTGCCACTCCACGCTGGTGTGCATGGACGCCGTCAGCGGTGAGCCCCTCCTGCTCCTGCGCCCGGGGCCGCACGCGCACCTGGAGGAACTCGTTGCTTCAAGGCTCTGGCAGCACGCTTTCAGCGCAGCGCGCATGCGATACCGGAGCGGACAGAGGGGGCCCCAGGGGTAGCGGTGTTCAAGCAGGCCATGCTCGTAGGAGCGCAGGATCTGCCCTGTAAGTTCCTGGTGCCCGAGCGCGGCACAATCGCCGCAGCGACAATGGTTTGGCGCCCGTGAGTAGCCAGTTGACGGGCTCGTTCTCTCTTGTCTGCGGTCCATGCCGTCTGGCATGAACGTTTTGATGATCGGGGAGTAGCGGAAGGCAGACAATGGCAAACGTCCGGGCCAGAGGAGATCTGGCCATGGTGGCGGCCGCCCAAGGAGGCGGACGTCCTGTCGCATGAGTCCGTGGCCTGGTGGGGTTCCTGGTGGGAGAGACGCCCGTTCCTCGGAGAACGTCAATTATACACGTGCACCGAGGATCCTGGTCAAGCCGAGCCTGGGCTCACAATCGGTGCATATGCCTTCCTCGCCAAGCCAGGAAGACGCATACACCGATCCGAGGCCCAGGATGGGTCTGGCCAGGATCGGTATAGGTGTATAGTTGGCGTCCTCCTACTTCCTTGTCGCTACTTCTCTACCTCCTTCGGCGGGCTCGGGCGATCTGCTAATCAAAGTCCCACTGCGCTTGTTAGTGGACGAACTTTTTCAAAGTTGACGCGTGCTGATCTCCAGGAGCCCCTGTCTTGCCCTCCTTTCGCTTTTACCGAAACTCCAGACTTCCCCATCCTCTTCTACCTTTGTATTGCCTCTTTGGCCATCACTGATCTTTGAAGTGTACGGTGGTTGTAAGAAGGCCTCCGCTGAATGCATGCATTTTTGCGTGCGAATTGTACTGCTGCTGGCCAAGGGGGCAATGAGTTGGAGTAGTGAAACGTATGGCCTCACTGAAGAAAAAGGCGCTTTCCATCCACAGTTCTCTGCTAACATATGGGGTCGCTCGATGATTGCTACCCTGAAATCCTCCCACTTGCCTCTTTCTCTCTCCATTGTGCTCAACCCCATCCCCCCTACTTTCTCTCCCGACCGGTGCTAGTGAGGGAACCCCGTCCGTTAGGAGGTCGACCGATGTCGCCTCCAGCCATGGCGTTCCATATTCAATGGCAGTTGGCAGTACCGTGTCACGAAGACGAACATCTTCGATGTGGATCGATGTCGTTGTCAGGGGCATGTTGCAGAAGTGACGTTACTGAGAGCCCGCAGAGCGGGAGTCACGGCGGCCCCCCGGGAGAAACCAGCACGCACATCTCCCAATCAGTGAGTTTTCAAAGACAGGCGTGTGGCCGAACATTTGGGCTGGTCTTGGGGCGATGTTGGTACCGTTTTGGGGGTCTTTTTTGTCTGGGGTTCTCTTGGGCGCTCGTGGGCTTCTGTTAGGGCCATCTTGACATTCTCTTGGGGAGCCAGGTTGGCAGGTCTTGGGGCCATCTGGGGTCTTGGGGCCGTCTTGGGCCGTCTTTGGGTAGACTTGGGGCAGTCTTGGGGCCATGTTGGGGTCGTCTTGGAGGCAATCTGGGGACACATTTTGGAGGCGCCGCACCCTGGAGGGTTCGTTGGCCTGATGCCAGGATCTTTGGAGCCTCTTGGATCTTCCCGGAGGCCTCTGAAGCCCATCTCACAGCACCACATAGCGGGAAAACGACACATGCGGGAACACGGGCACACACATGTATAAATGTATATATGTACATTGCCCCGGCAACCGGGGTTCCCAGTTCGGTCCGGCGCCGAAGACGCTATTTGAAGACGCTATTCCCTGTGACGACGCGTCCCTGTGAAGACGCTATTCCTTGTGAAGACGCTATTCCGGGTGAAGACGGTGAATACGCTATTCCGGGTGAAGACGCTACTTCCCGTGAAGACGCTATTCCCGGTGAAGACGCTATTCCCGGTGAAGACGCTATTTCGGGTGAAGACGCTATTCCCTGTGAAGACGCGTTCTGCGGACGCAGACAGCACTTCCCTTATGAAGACGCTACTCCGGGTGAAGACGCTATTCCGTGTGAAGACGCTACTCCGGGTGAAGACGCTATTCCGGGTGAAGATGCTATACCGTGTGAAGACGTTCTTCCTGGTGAAGGCGCTATTCCCGGTGAGTACGCTAGTCTTGGTGAAGACGCTATTCCAGGTGAAGACGCTATTCCCTGTGAAGATGTTATTCCCTCGGCTACACGTAAGGGTGACCCTTGGCCAGAGTGACCTGTAGTGTTGGCCCGAATGGGATCGGGCAGATTTTCTTGAGGAGTGCGCTCGGCCTCGTGTCGGCGCACGCTGCACCAGTCTGCGATCGCATCAGAGCGCGCTTGATTCGGGGTGCGCCCCTCGCAATCGATCGCAACGCATGCACGGTAAATTCTGCCGCGTGCTTCGTTCGGCAAGGGGGGGCCCAGTCGAGCGGGCGACGTGCTGTCCGCTGTGGGACCGGTCCCAAATCGTCTTGGAATAACTTTGACTAATTTTGACTAACTTTGAATAACTTTTCGCATTCCGCGCTTTATAACTCAATTCTTTACTATTGAAAGTTATTTGCGGCCGCGGGGGGGGCAAGTTTCGGCCCGGTTTCGGTTTTGACGCCGGACCCGGTCAGACGTCATCGCGATGCGGCCCAGCAGTGCCAGAACATTCCGCGGTGGTGTACGATTACGTCTGGCTTCGCAGAGCCCTCGGGCGGGTGTTCTGGGGCGCCCGGAACGAATTGGCGGAGGTCCGCAATTGCCTGCTGGCGCTAGGGATCTGCCGAAGCGCGCCCCACCGATCGTTGATGCAATCCGACGGCCTCGGTTTGCGCGGTTGCGCCAGGCCCCCGCGAGCCCCGGTAAGGCCGCGCACCAAAGGTCACTCTTGCCTAGGGTCACTCTTACGTGTCCCTGTGAAGACGCTTTTCCCGGTGAAGACGCTATAGCGGGTGAAGACGCTATTCCCGGTGAAGACGCTATTCCGGGTGAAGACGCTATTCCCGGTGAAGACGCTATTCCCGGTGAAGACGCTATTCCGGGTGAAGACGCTAGTCCGGGTGAAGACGCTATTTCCGGTGAAGTCTTTTCAGTGTGAAGACGCTATTCCGGGTGAGGACGCTCTTCCGTGTGAAGACGCTACTCTGGGTGAAGACGCTATTCCGGGTGAAGACGGTATTCCGGGTGAAGACGCTATTCCGGGTGAAGACGCTATTCCGGGTGAAGACGCCAGTCCGGGTGAAGACGCTATTCCGGGTGAAGACGCTATTCCGGGTGAAGACGCTATTCTGGGTGAAGACGCTATTCCTGGTGAAGACGCTATTCCCAGTGAAGACGCTATTTCGGGTGAAGACGCTTTTCCCTGTGAAGACGCGTTCTGCGGACGCAGACAGCACTTCCCTTATGAAGACGCTACTCCGGGTGAAGACGCTATTCCGTGTGAAGACGCTACTCCGGGTGAAGACGCTATTCCGGGTGAAGACGCTATACCGCGTGAAGACGTTCTTCCGGGTGAAGGCGCTATTCCCAGTGAGTGCGCTAGTCTTGGTGAAAACGCGATTCCAGGTGAAGACGCTATTCCCTGTGAAGATGTTATCCCCTCGGCTACACGTAAGAGTGACCCTTGGCCAGAGTGACCTTTAGTGTTGACCCGAATGGGGTCGGGCAGATTTTCTTGAGGAGTGCACTCGGCCTCGTGTCGGCGCACGCTGTACCAGTCTGCGATCGCATCAGAGCGCGCTTGATTCGGGGTGCGCCCCTCGCAATCGATCGCAACGCATGCACGGTGTATTCTGCCGCGTGCTTCGTTCGGCAAGGGGGGGCCCAGTCGAGCGGGCGACGTGCTGTCCGCTGTGGGACCGGTCCCAAATCGTCTTGGAATAACTTTGACTAGCTTTGACTAACTCTGAATAACTTTTCGCATTCCGCGCTTTACAATTCAATTCTTTACTATTGAAAGTTATTTGCGGCCGCGGGGGGGGGCAAGTTTCGGCCCGGTTTCGGTTTTGACGCCGGACCCGGTCAGACGTCATCGCGATGCGGCCGGGCAGTGCCAGAACATTCCGCGGTGGTGCCCGATTACGTCTGGCTTCGCAGAGCCCTCGGGCGGGTGTTCTGGGGCGCCCGGAACGAATTGGCGGAGGTCCGCAATTGCTTGCTGGCGCTAGGGATCTGCCGAAGCGCGCCCCACCGATCGTTGATGCAATCCGACGGCCTCGGTTTGCGCGGTTGCGCCAGGCCCCCGCGAGCCCCCCTAAGGCCGCGCACCAAAGGGCACTCTTGCCTAGGGTCACTCTTACGTGTCCCTGTGAAGACGCTTTTCCCGGTGAAGACGCTATAGCGGGTGAAGACGCTATTCCCGGTGAAGACGCTATTCCCGGTGAAGACGCTATTCCCGCTGCAGGAGGAGGCGGAGGAAGATCAGGAGGAGAGAGAGAGAGAGAGAGAGAGAGCTGGAGTGGGAGGAGGAGGAGGAGGGGAACGAGGAGGAGGAAGAGGCCTCCCAGATAGCTCCAAGATAACCGAAGAGGCTTCCAAGAGGGCCCTGGGCGGCCCACGAGGGCCCCAAGGCGGTGCTTGAGGCGCCCAAGACGGCCCGAGAGGGCCCCAAGACGGCCCCAAGAGAGGCCCAAGAAGGGAAACACGAACCGAGAATCCGAGCTTTCTACCCCGAGAGGTTCTCGGGAAGTCCCAAGAGGCCCCCAATCGGATCCAAGAGGCCCCCAAGAAACTCCCAAGAGGGCCGACGAGGTCCCAAGAGATCTCCCAAGGTGACCCCAAGATGCACAACTCATTGTTTTACGATTGGGCTTTAACGGTTTAGTGCTTTCTGCCTTTTGGCATCCCGATGCTCCAAGACGACCCAAGAGGCTTCCAAAACCGCTCCCATATAGAGGAAGAGGCCTCCAAGAGGGCCCCAAGACGGCCCGCGAGGGCCCCAAGACGGTGCTTGAGGCGCCCAAGACGGCCCGAGAGGGCCCCAAGAGCCCCAAGAGAGGCCCAAGAAGAGGAACGCGACCCAACAGCAGAGCGGCCCCCCCCCCCCCACAAGGCCCACAGGAGGCCGCAAGAGGCCCTCAAGTGGTCCGACGAGGACCCCAAAAGCTTCCCGAGGGCCTTAAAGGCCCCTAGGATACGTCCAAGAGGTTTTAAAATTGCCCAAGAGTGCCCTCGATGCGTCAAAACTGTTTCCAGGAGGCCCCCGGGAGGCATCCAGATTGCCTCAGTCTGGCCGCAGGTGGCCTCAAGTCGGGCCTCCACGCAGCCAAGACGGCCAATGACGGCTTCAGATTGCAGAACCGATGCCCTCAAGGGACCCTCAGACGCCCCCCAAAGAAGCACACAAGAGGTGCCTCCAACAGCCAGTTGACGAAGCATGCGGAACACCCCAGAAGCTCCTCAGATGCCGTCGCGCGCCTGTGCTTGATAGCGTTGTCCTAGATCGTCCAGCGCCCCCCCGGCCTGGGCTAGAACCTGAGCGCGCGCGAAGCGCGCGCGATGGTTTTAGTGTATATATATATATATATTCATGAGTGAATGTTTTCATGTAGATGTGCATGGGTATCGCTCTCCCGAAATTGATGAACTTGCACATGTATGCACATCGATGCGCCCACAGTTTAGACGCCCCCTTCCCAAGTCCATCATCTGCCTCCTTACTTGCAGCCTGGACGCTCCTCCCCGTGTTGCGTTCCTCGCCTGGGCTCCCCTCGGCCCTCTTGAGGTGGCTCGCCTGCAGCGCGCCTTTCCTTGGCGTTCCGTTCGGGCCACGTGGCGCTCTGTGGTCCCCCTCTCCCCTCCCCACCCTCTCTCTCTCTGCCCCCCCCCGTCCGCGGTCTGGCCTGCGCAGGGCCACGGCTGCGCAGCCATGGCGAACCTGTCCCGTGGCGGCCTCGGCTTCTGGGGGCATGATGGGTGGTCTGAGGGTTCGATCGCATCCGAAAGTGGTCGGATCCGCCTGCCACATCCATGGCCCTTGCTATATTTGTTTGGTTTTCAATGTATTTTGTTTTCGTCCTCGCGTCTCCCTCCTCGTCGGAACGGCTAGAGGCGGCTCCAATAAGTTATGGGGATCGTGGCCAGGAATATACGGGACCCTGGGGGCCAGTGTAGACTCGATTTCTTGAGGCACGTGCGAATACACTTTAAGCGCGTGCTACCCAGTCACCAAAGCAGCAAATCCCATGTGCACCTCAAAGGGCTTCTAAGGGAAAAACACGTGTCCTCATCGTGTCTCTCATTACTAGCTCGGGCTGTCCAGTGTCGGAGTCCAGCGATCTGGCTGTGGCGCACCTCATGTGCTATTCGGTGAGCTGCGATGGATGTCACCAGCACCAGTGCGCCATCCAGGATGTCCCCATCGTAGAATGCCCACAAGGGTGCGGCCACTGCCGCTTCGGAAGGCGGATCTGAGTCTTCGAACGAATCGTCCTCCGAAGGAGGGTTGGCCGCGAAAACTGTATCGGAGCTGCAGGAGACACACTCTGCGCATGTTCAGTACGTGCTGGGCTGGTTTCCGATCTTAGGTGGTTTTGACGCGACGTAGCAGCTTCCGAGCTGAAGCTTGCGCTACCGACCTTTGTTTGCGCCCTTTCGACAGAAGCCACCCGCCTGAAATCAAATTCCAGAGAGCTTAATTTAATGATATGGATCCCTGGCCCTCTCACGAAATCAAGCAGTAATCGAGATTCGCGCCGAGGCCTCTCATTGGTCAATGTAGTGTCAATCATGCTGCCCACAACTGACGCGCTTACTGCGCGCCGCACCAGCTGAGGTGGCAGCGTGGCCCGGCAGGCACGCATCGAGTTCCTCGGGGGCGTCGAGCTCGCCCTCGCCACGTTGCGCGCGCACCCCTACGCCCCAGATATCCAGGGCAGCACCCGCAGCTGCCGCTAGAAGAGCTACCGCAATGGCCGCCGTCGCTGCTGCCGCCGCCACAGCTGCTGCAGCAGGTGTCGCCACCCTCATCGAGAAGGGCAGGGGCGGTTGGTCGATAAAGATCCTCGGAGGCTTGAACTAAAGGGGTAGGTCGGCGGTGCTGGTCGTTATCAGGCTGGCTCTCGACAGGCGACGCTCAGCCGTCCTCGAAGTCTCTCTGCGCCATCCAGCACGCAATTTCTACGATTGTCGCAGTCGTATATCATCTCTCGTCGACTGTCACATTGAGGATTGAGGTGAACCTGTTTCGTTTTATCGCGCGTGGAACGTGTTTTTTCTAGTATGATCGAATCTGGCTTTCCATAATTCGAGTATTTCACGGCATCACATCCTTGAGCTACCTTTGATTCCATGCTAGTGCAAGCGTTGCGGATCACATAAGTCACTCTAAATGTATGGCTCCACGACGTGGCCGTGAGATAGTCGAGGCCGTAGAAAATATCTGACGCCCAGCGAGACGATGTTAGTCCTTCCTATTGTTTGGCACGCCACTTCATAAGCCATCGTCGGCACTGTATTTTGTTGGAGCTATGCGATGTGTCCGAGGGTGTTCCCCCTAGTCGACTCTCTCTTTCGCCCGATGCAGTCTGGACAAAGGAGGATGAGGATGATACTGATGGGGAGAATGCTAGGAGGGAGGGAGGGGGGGAGCTAAGCAGTTACCCAACTCAAGTTTAATTTTAGCGTATCCCTAGCAGCGCATCCAGAAACGATGCCCAGGGGAGCTGTCTGGAGGAGTGGCGTATATAAACATGTAGTAAATCAGTGAGGCCAACAATGGTGAAACTAGAGACCTCGGGGAGCCTCATGCAGCCAGCTCGGGGCCAATTTGGAAGCATTTTGGGCCCTATTGGGGCCCTCTCGGGGCCCTCGTGAGGCTCGCTTGGGGCCCTCCTGGGACCCCAGAGGGGCCTCTTGGGGCCATCTTGGGGGCAATCGATCAAAGAAGAAGACGGCGCTTATGTCCATCCCAATTTCGGAAGCCCAGACACCGCCTCTTCGGGCTCTCTTGGGATGCTCCTGGGGCGCTCTTGGGGCCGTCTTGGAGCCGTCTTGGGCTCCTCTTAGGGCTCTCTTGGGCATCTTGGAGCATCTTGAGGTCTCCAAGGCTGGTCGGAAGCAACGAGGGGAGACTCCACACATCAGTATTTATCCCCAACCCTCCTGTGTTTAATTCTCGTCTTGAACAGAGCTCGGTGGTCTCCACTACCCTCTTATCCTCCTCCCCGTTCTCCTGCCTCCTCCTGCGCTGCTCCCTGGGTGGCTGCGATCTGCGCACCTGTCGCCACTTTCGCGGGCTCCTGGGAGGTCCAGCGGTTTCGGGGGCCACGCGCACTCAGCCAGGACTTCGCGGCTCCCTGGGTGGCCGCGAATTGAGCAATTGTCGCAATTTGTTTTGGGCTCCTGGGAGCTCCAGAGGAATCGGGGAGCACGCGCACCCAGACTGGACTTCGCTGTTCTCTGGGAGGCTGCGAACTTCGCAACGGTTTCCACTTTCGTGGGCTCCTGGGAGGTCCAGAGAGGTCGGGGATCACGCGCACCTAGCCGGGACCTCGCGGCGCCCTGGGAGGCTGCGAACTGCGCAATTGTCGCCACTTTCGTGAGCTCCGGGGAAGTCCATAGGAGTCGGGGAGCACGCGCCCCCAGACGGGACCTCGCTGCTTCCTGGGTGGCTTCGAACTGCGCAACAATCGCTAATTTTGTGGGCTCCTGGGAGTTCCAGCGGTTTCGGGGGCCACGCGCACCCAGCCGAGACTCCGCGGCTCCCTTGGTGGCGGTGGCCGTGAATTGTACAATTGTCGCCATCGTCGTGGGCTCCTGGGAGGTCCAGAGGAGTCGGGGAGCACGCGCCCCCAGACGGGAACTCGCTGCTGCCTGGGAGGCTGTGAACTGCGCAATTGTCGCCACTTTCGTGGGCTCCTGGGAGGTCCAGCGGAGTTGGGGACCACACGCAGATCCAGCCGGGACCTCGCGGCTCCCTCGTCGGCTACTGGGAGGTCCAGCGGAGTGGGGGGCCACGCTCACCCGGTCAGGACCTCGCTGCTCCCTGGGTGTCCGCGATCTGCGCATCTGTCGCCAATTTCGTGGGCTCCTGGGAGATCACGCGCACCCAGACAGGATCTCGCTGCTCCCTGGGTGGCTGACCTCAGTCAGCGCGCGGCGCTGTTGCATCACAGAGCGCAGGGCGCTGGAGCGCCGCGTAGCGCATGTCACTGTCCTCACTGCCCCCCCTCCTCAGGCGCCCGTCACCTGCAGCGGGAACGCGGGCGATCCGAGCAGATGTAGCGCATGGCGCTGTTACTCTCACCAGCGTTTTTCCCTCTTCCCTCGTGATCCTCCTGGCCATTATCCCCCTCTTCCTCCTCCTGCTCTTCCTCCTCCACGTTTGTCCCCCTTTTCATGTTGCGCTGGTGTGCGACGTGCGTGGCCCAGCAGTACCTCGTCTTCGCGAGTGCTTCGTATCTCGCACAGTGGTTTTGTGCATGCGAACTTTTCACATGTGTAGTCGCCTCACGTGCATAACGGGTTGGGAACGTCTCGGGTAATTTCCCAACCCTCCTGTGTTGGGTTCTCGTTTTGAATAAAGTATTGCTCGCAAGATTACTCCTCCTCTCGCTCTTCAGCCCCAACCTCTTCCTACATCCCGCTTTATTCAATCGCTTCGCTCACTCCGCCATCCCGTATGCCATCGCAGGCGTTTGCCTGCGCGTTCGTGGCCTCTTGGAGGCCTTTTGGGGCCTCTTGGAGTCTCTTTTTGAGCCTCTTGGCGGTATGTCTGGGACCTCCTGGCGCGTCGCGGGTGCCTCTCGGGGGACTCTTGGGGGTCTCTTGGGGCCTCTCGGGGGCCTCTTGGGGGCCTCGTGGGGGCTTCTTGGGGGCCTCTTGGGGCCTCCATGGGACCTGTCTGCGTTTAGAGCTCGGAATGTTCGTTCGGGTCCCCCGTCTGGGCCCGCTCTTGGAGCCGTCTTGGGAGCCTCTTCGGCCAGCTTGGAAGCCTCTGGGGATGTCTTGGGGCCCTTGGGGGCCGTTTTGTGCGCTCTTGGGGCGTCTTGAAGGCGCTTGGCGTCTTGGATCGCTGTTGGACCATCTCGGACCATGTTGAGCTCTCTTGGAGGCCACTTGAAGCGCTCCTGGAGCGCTCTTGGGAGCCTGTGGGGACCTTGCCTTCACTGCCCAGACCTTGCTGGGACCTTAACGGGGAAATTTTCGTCCGGGGACACCCAGGGGCGGCCCCGCGCGCGCGAACTAGAAATATTGTTAACCCAGTCGCAGGAGATCTTAGCACGACCTTGGCCCGATGGGCCAGCGAATTTCCAACCCTCCGGTGTTGGGTTCTCGTATTGAATGGAGCACTGTGGTCTTCGTCTTTCCTCCTCCTTGCTCCCCTTCCTTCTCCTCCTCCTCCTCCTCCTCATCCTCCTCCTCCTCCTCCTCCTCCTCCTCCCTCTTCCATTCCTTCGCACCCCGAGGCCAGGTTTTAGGGCGGGCTGGGCGTTTCGCCTGAGACTTTCTCACCATTATGACTCTGAAGCTTGAAAAGTGACAGCCGCTTCACAGATGGAGGGCAGGTGGTTTTCAACATGTGGCTCTCGCCTCAGCGCCGCGCACATTGATTTTAAAGATTTGCAATAGTTTCACGGATCGAGGGCGGGTTGTTTTCAAAATGTTGCTCTCGCCTTAGCGCCGCGCACATTGATGCTAAAATATTTGCAATAGTTTCACGGATCGGGGGCGGGTGGTTTTCAAAATGTGGTTCTCGCCTTAGCGCCGCGCACATTGATTTCAAATATTTGCAAGAATTTCACGGATTGAGGGCGGGTGGTTTTCAATATGTGGTTCTCGCTTCAGCGCCGCGCGCATTCGTTTTCAACATGTGCAAGAGTTTCACGGATTCTCATGATCAGCTGACCAATGATGTTTTCGAAGGACTCAGGATTATGCGGGTGCAACAGTTATGTTGATTCGAGTTGTTGAAGTCACCCAAAATCGCGTTCTGGCACGGTTCCGGATCGTCAAGACGCAGCAGTCAGGTGGATACGTGGCGTTGAAAGCCCGAGAACAATTTTTTGGCATGTTTCAGGACCTTCAAACGGTTGTCTTCCAACGAGGCAGTTCCTTCAATGGAAATCAACCGTTGTAGGGGCCTATGAAGAGGGAGCTTTGAGGGGGGGGGGTAATTCCAACATCGTTGATGACTCTTGGGTTTACACTGGGCCTCCTCCTCCTCCTCCTCGTCCTTGCGGCACCCTGGGGGGCTGCGAACTGCGCAACGGTCACCACTTTCGTGGGCTCCTGGAAGGTCCAGCGGAGTGGAGTTACAGGCAGATCCAGCCGGGAACTGGCGGCTCTCTGGTGGGCTGCGAACTGCGCAATTGTCGTCATTTTCGTGCCCCCTTGGGAGGTCCAGCGGAGTGGAGTTACAGGCAGATCCAGCCGGGACCTCGCGGCTCCCTGGGGACTGCGAACTACGCAAGTGTCGCCAATTTCGTCAGCTCCTGGGAGGTCTAGCGGAGTTGGGTTACAGGGAGATCCAGCCCTGACCTCGCGGCTCCCTGGTGGGCTGTGAACTGCGCAACTGTCGCCATTTTCGTGGGCTCTTGTGGGGCCGATTGGAGTTGAGTTACAGGCAGATCCAGCCGGAATCTCGCGGCTCCCCTGGGGGGCTGCGAATTGCGCAGCTACTGCCATTTTCGTGGGCTCCTGGGAGGTCCAGCGAAGTTGGGTTACACGCAGATCCAGCCAGAACCTCGCGGCTCCCCAGGTGGGATGCGAACTGCGCAACTGTCACCACTTTCGTGGGCTCCTGGGAGGTCCAGCGGAGTTGAGTTACACGCAGGTCCAGCAGAGACCTCGCGGCTCCCGGGTGGGCTGCGAATTGCGCAACGGTCGAGCTCGCGGCTCCCTGGGGTGGCTGCGAACTGTGCAACTGTCTCCACTCTCCACTTTCGTATGCTCCTGGGGGGCCGAGCAGAGTGACATCAGAATGATGCCTCGCCGTCCATGGCGGCCCGCAGCCTGAGACACTGCCGCCACTTTCGTGGGCTCTTGGGAGGCCGAGCAGAGTGGCGTCGTACGCAGATCATAATCAGGCCCCCTCCGTCCCTGGGGGGCTGCGACATTAGAAATTGTGGCAGTTCGCCGATCGCAGATGGCAGCGCGATGTGGCGCCGCGCAGCGCATGGCACTGTCGATTGAGCATACCGCATCTTCTCTTCAGCTGCCTCTTAACGTCAATGCTCTCGCGCGTTTGCTGCGCTGCGGCGCTGTCACTCCTGTTGATCATGCTTCCAGTTTTCCCATCGCCGTATGTTTCTACGCGTGTCGTTCTGCTCTTTTCGTCCGCTCGTGGTCTCTTCCTGTCAATGTTTTAAGTCGCGCGAGAAATTCAACGATTGGGGAACATATAACTGTGGCCCAGCGTTCTTTGGCAAAGCGTTCACGGGCACGGCGCGTCCCTCAATGTTTGCTTGTGTGCTGAGCGCTCCTACGTCTAGTCTAGTCGCCACATGGTGCAGAGGGCTGAGTGCGTCCCCAGGGAATCTCCTCTCGGGCGGGTCATTGGGAGGCACCGTGGCCATCTGGAACCGTCCCATGGCGGTTTTGGGGCTTCTTGGAGGCATGTGAGCCATCGTACCATCGTGGGCTAACTGGTGCCATCGTGGAAACCATCTTGGGATATTTGGGGCGCTCTGGGAGCGATCTGTGGGCATTTTGGACTCTCCAACGCCTCGTGACCACCTCCTACAAGCCCTGGGAGAGGAGATGTGGAGCAGTGGACCTCTCCCCGAAGGGGAAGAATGAGGTTGGAATCACCAACCTGCCAAATACCTACGCCCTACAGGGCTGTTGGTGCTGTTCCTGTTCTGCCGCGCCCTCGGTCTTCCACATAACGCTACACCGTCATAGCCACCGGCCGCCCACGCAACGCACGGGCAGCTTCACGATCTCATCATCGTCAGGTACTCCAAGCGCATGCAGGCGCTGATGTATCGTGATCGCACTGGGGCCCAGCTGGGGTCCTGTCTCTGCTGGGTGCGTTTACAACTCCACTCCGCTGGGCCTCTCAGGAGCCCACGAAAGTGGCGACAGGTGCGCAGTTCGCAGCCACCCCAGGGAGCCGAGAGGTCCCGGCTGGGTGCGTTTACAACTCCACTCCGCTGGGCCTCCCAGGAGCCCACGAAAGTGGTGACAGGTGCGCAGTGCGCAGTTCGCAGCCACCCCAGGGAGCCGCGAAGTCTCGGCTGGGTGTGTTTACAACTCCATTTCGCTGAGTACCCCAGGAGCCAACGAACGCGGCGACAGCTGCACAGTTCGTAGCCCCCGCAGGGGAGCCGCGAGGTCCCGGCTGGGTGTGGTTTCGACTCCACTCCGCTGGGCCTCCCAGGAGCCCACGAAAGTGGGGCCAGTTGCGCAGCTCGCAGCCCCCAGGGAGCCGCGAGGTCCCCCCTCCCGGGAGCCGAGAGAAGCAGAGTCACAATAGGGCTGCAACGCAAGCAGGACGAAGAAGAGAAGGGATGAGGAAGAACAGGAAGAAGAGACGTGAGGCAGGAAGTAGGAAGTAGGAGGCAGGAGGCAGGAGGAGGGGAGGAGGGAGGAGTGGAGACCACAGTGCTCTATTCAACACGAGAACCCAACACCAGAGGGTTGGGAATTATCTTAACATGTATACGCATGATCTGGGCCGCGCCGAGTGATTGGGATCGTACTGGTGCGGGTGTGACAGGGGAGGATGCGTTCCGAGCTCTCGTGGTGGCCCTAGCTGGGAAAATAAGTGCTTTGGTGATTTAAGTGTGGCGTCCTAGAGCCACTTATACCTCCGCCCCCACGCCGCTGCATTTGCTTTGCAGTAACCTTCCATCAAGTAAGTGTGAAGTCAGCTCTCCTAACATTCCCAGCCTCCCCCACCTCCCCTCTCCCCCCTCCTCCCCTGCTCGCCTCCCCTTCCAGCCCATGACTCCGCTACAACGCCCCCCCCTCCCTGGGTGCCTGCCAAGGCTGGGCGTTGGCGGCGCTGCGGGAGCTGGCCTTCGGCAGCGCGAGCGCCCAGCAGAGAGTCCGCGGGGGAAGGTGGAGGGTGGCTCGGCGGGCTGGTGGGGAGATGGATGGCGACCAGGAGCGACGGTGCCTGCCCGCCTGCGGGGCGCGCAGGTCATGGATGGCGACGGCGTGCAGCTGGTCGTCCGCGCGCTGCGCGAGCACCGCGACGCTGCGGCAGTGCAGGCTCCGCTTCGTGATTGGGCGCTTCGGGTTTCTCAGATGGCTTGAGGTTTTGGGGGCCATTCGGAGATTTGGGACTCTTCGGATACTTTTTGAGCCCCAGGTGCTACAGCAGTTGCGGCTGGTCCAACACATTCGGGGGCAGCAGAACTAACCCCAGGGACCTTCGGCGCTCAGAGTTGCATCCTCAACGCCTTCAGTCAGGATGGCTTGCATGACGTGCCGCTTATCTATTCAGGACGCCTCGCAGCGTGGTGTCTTGCTTGGTGTGGTGAGTGCCACTGGAATGGCCAGGCTTCTCCTTGACCTCTTAGTTCTCGGAAGGCGTGCGGGAGGCTCCAGCGGCCTCCAGTGCCCCCGAAAGTCTTCGAGCCAGCCTCCAGGACCAGGAGGCTTCCAGACCCATAGGTTCCAAGGGGCCACAGTCTTGGGACTGTGTGGGGCCGCCAACCTGCGACGACCAGGAGGCGCTCCAGGGATTCTCCAGGCTCTTCCGGGAAGCCTCCAGGGGCGTCCAAAGAGCCTCGAGGGGCATCCAAATGGTCTCCACGAGGCTTGCAGAGGCCTCCGCAGCGAGGGTGGAGAGCAGCGGGGTTGCAGGGGACTGCGTGGGCCTGCCGCCCAGAAGCGACGGGGAAATTCTTCGAGACGCCTCCAGACTCTTCAAGATCTTTTCCCAGAAGGCCTGCAGAGGCCTCCAGCGGCTTCCATATGGATCCCCCTGTAGGTCTCCGGGTAGTCGCCATGGTCCCCCTTCCCCCAGGTTGGGGTGTGGCGGAGGAGGGTGGAGGACGGTGTAGCCTCTTCCCAAGGGGGTTGGCGCAGGAGAGTGGCAGAGGGCGGTGGAGGACCTTGCTTCGGGTAGCCGGCTCGGTTCCGAATTCACGGTGCCGTCCGCTGAGACGACCCAGCCGAGGTAGACGATTCTGTCCTTATGCTTTAGTAGGGCTCCGTCTGGCGTTGGAAGATTGGTGGCTTCACATCGACTCTGGCGTAATTCAATTTTCTAGCAGTTGCACTTGAGGCCGTAATTGGCACCCGCGTTTGCCGCTCCACTGCGCGCATGTACTCCGCAGCTTACGCTCCTTATCTTAGTTTGTTTGTATCGTGGAGGCGAACCGTCGTCAGGATTGTGAACGAAAAGGGTGAGATGGGGCGACATGTTTCCTGGCAAGCAGTTACTTGTACGAGCCATAACGTATTGCAGGCGACTTCACATAACTAGTCTCCAAGTTCAACGTGGAAGACATCATGTGCCGAAGCAGTACGTGCAGATGAGAAAAGGGGCGGACACACTAGCAGCAAGAAGGAACACCAGCCGCATCAGTATGCACGATGTTCTAAGGGTCCATATGTGCACGAATGCTTCCCGTTGCACCCGTGCCGATCGATTGATTTGTGAGGCAGCCTTCGCAGGGCCCATGGTCGCCGCAGTTGAGCGTTGCTCGAAAATTGGACAGCGGCTTCTGCCATAGAGAGATAACGTAATCCCGCTTGTTTCAGTTTCGTGATGGCACGTGGGATAGGGTGCAGTCCAGCTGGCAGTGAGGAAGTGCACAGGCGGAAGAGGAGCCAGGGAGCATGGAAGAATGGATCGGGGCAGAGATGGTGCGTGGCTGGAACATACGAGGGGGAACGACGGGAGGATTGGGAAGAATGGTGGGCCCCAGCAACTGTGGATGGTTGTGCCAAGTGGCGTCGGCCAATTTTCGGCTCGCCGTCGACTGGCAACGCCTGCAGCGTGCACGAGCGCGGGCATTCTGCCCGACAGCACCCCCACGACTCCACGGCGCACATCGCTCGAACCATGGGACATGACAACATGCGTACATCTGGGCCACGCCTTCTCCTTGCCCCTTGTGGCTGGCCTCGTGCACTTTTTGGCTCTTGCACGGGCACGATTCACAAGTTCGCGCCCTGGCATCGCGTGACGATACAGGGTGTGTCAGTGCCCGCAGCCCAAACTGTCTTACCCTCGCGGATCGCCGCAGGCGCAATCCGCCGCACATGTGCGAGCATATTGCGCCAAAGCCTAACACTAACTGCTGGCGCCCCAGAGTCGGAGCACCACTGGCTGAAGAGGGGGAGCAGGAGGAGGAGGAGGAGGAGGAGGAGGAGGAGGAGGAGGAGGAGGAGGAGGAGGAGGAGCAGGAGCAGGAGAAGGAGCAGGAGCAGGAGCAGGAGCCCAGGACTTCGACTGAGACTGACAGTTATATGGGGCAGATGCCTCCTCGTCCGAAGACGCAGTGAAGAGCTCTTGCCTCCTCTTGAGGCAGCTCTTGAAGAGAAACTCTGGCGCTGACCCGCTTACGCCACTGAGCAAGCTCTACGATGGCAGTCGGGGAGTCAAAGTCATGCACTCTCGCAATCTCCGCATCCAGAAAACGAGGGACTGGAAGGTCGTTCGAGACACACGATTCGGGACCACAGGACAGCCCGTCCAGGCCGCCGTAGGCGGCGGCCTCTGGCTGCACGAAGCTGAGGGACGGGAGGCGCGGCGTCCAGGATGGCACCTGCGCCGCGCTCGGGCCTGAAACGTCCTCCGACGTCTGGACTGCCGGGACCGCAAACCTGGGGCCGAAGGTCCCTGACATGGGCCATCCGGGCCCTCTCCTCTCCTCACTTGCCGAAACATAGAGGTCCCACAGAACTCGCAAAACAAAACTGCATCACCAGGCTGGATTTCCGCACGCTCCTCGTTGCTCAGGAGATCAGCTTGCAACACGCTGTGACCGTTGTAACATCCCAAGGAGTCCCCGAGACCCGGACGATACCTTCCTCGGGCGGAGGCTGAAGGGGAGGTGGTGGCAGCAGAGGGGCAGCAGCACCAGACAGGCTAACCCCCTCCACTTCGTCAAAAGGCTTCACCCCCGCCTCCAGACATACCTCGTGGAGGCCGTCCCAGTCCTCAGGGTCCAACTCGAGAGTGACATCCGAGGTCCCAGCAGCCCAATGCGGGTCCACAAAGCGAGTCAACGAACACTTGCTGGGCTCTCACATGCCATCTTGTGGCTACAGCAGCCATGCCCTCGAGTCCCTGGACGAACAACGCTTGCTGCGACGGTGTCTACCACAGCTTGGCTCCTAGTTTGGCATGTCTGTCGACTGCTGCTTTACCTCGAATCAGCCAGGTCTGGTGATCTGAGCGCGAGTTGGCCTTATATTGGTGGCTTTCCACCTTAGAGACAGCAGCACGGTGCCCGACACCACCCTACCTCCCCCCACCAGTCCCGCCAGACATGTTGCCTGGTCTGCATAACAGAACTGCCAGCCCCAGGGTCCCGAGCACACGAGATGGAGGCGGCGCAGTCTGCGTAGACATGCAGGGGACTGTCAGGGTCTCACTCGCAGTGGGTGGCAAGAAAGGGAAAGGCCATGTGTTCCCCGTCAGCAGCGGAGCCAGATGCAGGGGCACGATCCCGTAGCAACCTCATACTATTGTGCCTGCCGGGTCAATCTGAACAATCGAGAACCCCGCACGACTGATTCCTGACATGGTGTGTGGTACGCCGAGCCATCAACGAGCACATCTCCAGAACAACGCCACTTGGCTGGCACATCCTTCCACCAAGCTTTCCCATCAGGCTCAACCTGGGGCAGACACCAACGGGGGGGGGGGGGGGGTAGAGACATCTGCAGAACAACTCGCCATGCGCTTCGCTCCTGCTGCGCACCTTCCTAGCGGCTTTCCGAAGCTTTCTACATACAGGGAGTTCAACCAACTAGGACGGCATGCCCGGGCTCAGTCTCGCGGGCCTACTCTAAAATCATATGTTTCAAATTATTTGTGTTGTTTCATGCCCTGCCGTCATCGCGCGAGTGATACTCGAAAACCTAGTTTAAAATGTGGCCATGGTTCTCTTCCCCCAGATTTTCCTCTGGATTGTCCTCCAGATCTTCACCCAGATCTTCCCCCAGATGTTTCTCTTGATCTCCCCGCAGATCTTCACCCAGATCTCCTCCCAGATCGTAACGCAGATCTTGAGGTTTTCCTCCAGATCGTTATTCAGATCTTCTCCTCCTTTTCCCCCAAAAATCCCCCCCCGGATCTTCACCCAGATCTTCGCCCAAAGCCCCTCCTAGATCTTCACCCAGATCTTCCCTCAAATCCTCGCCCAGATCTCCCCCCAGATCTCCCCCCAGATCTTCCCCCAGATCTCCTCCCAGATCTTTCCCCAGATCTTCCCCAGATCTTCCCCGGATCGCTCTTCGGATCTTGTTCCAGATCTTCCCCGCGCGTCCTTCTCCAGATTCCCCCAGATCTTCCCCAGATCTTCCGGCAGATCTTCCTCCAGGTCTTCCCCCGGATTCTTCCCCAGCATTTTCTCCCAGATCTTTCCCCAGATCTTCCCCCAGATCTTCCACCAGATCTTCCTCCAGATATTTCCCAAAATCTTGCCCCAGATCTTTCCCCAGATCTTCCCCAGATTTTCCCCCAGATCTCCCCCCACATCTTCCCCCAGATCTTTCCCTAAATCTTTCCCCCGATGTTACCCCATATCTTACCCCAGATCTTCCTCCAGATCTTCCCCCAGATCTCCCGCCAGATCTTCCCCCATATCTTCCTCCAGATGTTCCTCCAGATCTTATCCCAGATCTTCCACCAGATATTACCCCAGATTTTCTCCCAGATCTTTCTCCAAATCTCTCCCCGGATGTTTCCCAAGATCTTCCGCAGATCTTCCCCCAGATCTTCCTCCAAATCTTCACCCAGATCTTTCCTCTGATCTTTTCCGATGTTGTCCCGCAGAGCTTCTTCAATGTTTCCCCAATATATTCACCCAGTTATTGGTTGAGATCTTCCCCCAGTTCTTCCTCCAGATCGTCCTCCAGATCTTCACACATATCTTCCCCCCGATGTTTTCGCATATCTTCTCCCTCAGATCTTTCTCCAGATCTTCCCGAGATCTTCCCGCAAATCTTGCTGCATATTTGCGACGTACTACACCGCCAAATCTCCCTCAGCACATTCGTCAGATTTTCGCCCAGATCTTCCACCAGGTCTTCCCTCATATGTCCCTCCAGATCTTCCTCCAGACTTCCCGCCAAGTATTATATTCGAGATGTTCCCTCAGATCTCCCCCAGATCTTCCGCCAACGATTCCTCCAGATTGATCGCTTTGCAACCGCGCCAAGTCTTCCATTGGACACTCC